TGGGCACAGCCGCACAGGCACGGAGGAAGCGCGGACGTACCTTTGGGGCCGAACAGCGTGGCGTAGCAGGGCTTGTGGCAGAAGGGCTTCCCATCGTGCTGGGGAAAGAGGGGAGTGTTAGGATGCCGAGCAGCGACCACAGTTCCCTCGGGATCGCTTCCATCCCCACTGGTGTTCAGAGACCACCGTGGCCATGCCAACACCCTAAAATGCACCCAGCCTGCGGGTCTGCCGGCGACAGCCCAACCCCTCTCAAGCACTCAAGGATTGCGCCTGCACCAAACGCTCCGACTGTTCTGCGCGTGCCGTACCGCGGGGACGGAGCACCAGCACCCTGCGGCAGTTCAGCTGAGAGGCAGCCCCAAGCCCCCGTAAGGCATCACTCGGCCGCACCGCGGCTTCCACCGAGCTTCGCCTCCCCCCTCACCTTGGCCTGAGATCAGAGGCCCCGTGCAGACGCTGGTCCCATATCGTGTTGGCCCCATATCGACTCTGCTATTGGCTGGGGGCGATTATCGCAGGAAGACTCAAAGCGGGCGATAAGCCCCAGAGCTCCCCGCGGCCATTTCTCACGGGCCGAACCAAGTCCATGGGAAAAGCAAGAGTTTTTGTGGCTGGGGCAGGGGGCCAGCGGGGCTGCCAAGCACACCATCCGGCGTGGAAAACCCACTGGAACTCCATCCTCAGGCACAAACCCACCCCATAGCCTGCTCAGCTCCATCCAGCATCTAAACCCTGCTCCATGCCTGGTGCTTGTGCCCTCCATCCCCTCCACTGCAAGGCGAGGACGCCTTGCCCAAAACAGGCAGAGTGGTAGCTGAGCAGTTTCCTCCCCTCCCAAGCGGTGCCATGCCGAAGGCAAAAACGCAGGGGGGGGGGGGGGTGGGTGGCGAGGCAGCCAGCCGGCGGGCAGCGGGCAGCTGCAAAACATCCCAAGGCATAAATATCAGTGTGCTCGCAGCGTTACCATGCTGGAGGGGAGGGTAAACATTTAGCTGGTCTCCCAGTGACACCCTTCCAACCTGGCCGGACATGCTGGCTTGAAAGGAAGGAGAAAAGCAGGGAATGGCCAAATCCTGCTCTCAGCACAGTCAGCGGGGGCTTGGCTGCCGTCCCCCATGGGAGCAGAATCCGGCCTTATATGGAGAAGCAGCAAATCCCCTGGGCTTAACCCGGCCCGAAGCACAGACCCACCCGCACAGCCCCATCCTCCTTGGCAGGACTGGTCCCGCTCCCGCCCCAGGCCGGGCGGCAC